AGCTGCTGGACTGGGGGATGTGAGAAGAGTTGCCCAGCATGCCCCCGTACCCCGGCTGGTTCATCCCGCTGGAGGAGCTCCACGGGTCGCTGCTGTGGTGGCCATCTGTAACACAGGAGGGGAACACCGCTGGCCGCCGGCGCCGGACCCTGCAGAGCCGCCGGCTCTGGGCCTCGGCAAACTCCATCCTAACGCCCCGAGCGGGGCTGCAGGGCTACGCCGCTCAAGCATAACGCCACGTGCCCTAATGAAAATGAAGCTGAACTGAGCAATGGTGAACACTCAGATCATCCAGTCCAACCGTTAGGATGACACAACGGTTGGACTTGATGACGCAACGCTTGGACTTGATGACACAACGGTTGGACTTGATGACCTTAAGGTCTTTCCCAACCTCAACGATTCTATGATCCTGCAATGCTTCATTACAGTCACATCACTTAGGCTTGGAGGTTTCCTGCTGCTTTATTCCTGCTCTGGTACCATAAACTCAAGTTCATGAACTCCGTTATACCAAATTTCATCAGAGACCAAAGCCTGAACGTTGAAAGGAGCAGAATGAGGATGGGGCTAACGAGCTCTGGAGGAGCCTCGACTTGGTGAATGGTCGGGTAAATCCTGAACTTTGAATGTTTCTCCCTTATGGGATTTCACAGCTTGTGCCTCTGCACCTCCCAAGCGCAGCGTCCATCCTTCAGGCCAGTTCACTGCCAAGGTACAACGCGTGCTGAAATGTATAAAAAGGGCTCCCCAAATTTTATCAAGTAAAATAGCTGGCTGCATATTTTGCATTTAGCTAGAGACGCCGACATGGAACTATAACAATGCAGGGAAATGTATTTTCTGCTGGAAGAATGCCAAGGAAATACAAAACAAAAAAAAAAAAAAAAAAAAAGGTAGATGACTTTTCCATAAGGATGAGCAGACTTAAAAAGACGGGCACGTGGGCTGGAAAGGTTGTCGGCTTTTTCAGACTACGGGAGTTGGTCTAATAAAAACTTATTAGGTCTCGCCTACAGCCCTGCCTTATTTATACACTTCCAACACGCTGGCAGCAGCGGCACTTTGAGCATCACCTTCCCATGGCTGTTTGAACAGCTATTT